CTGTATTCTAAATAATCTGATCACCAACCTTGACTGTTTCCAAACTAAGATTCCAAAGAGCTGCTTTTCCTTGTGGTTGGTTCTTCCAGCTGGGGGAATAGGAGAGACCAGGAAACCCTATAGAGCCAGGCAGGGAGGAGTGAAAACCACTCTCCTGAGAGACTCCGGCAAGGATGCTTATGAAGGGAACCCTGGGCTGGAAAATCCAGGCGATGTCCCTGGATCTACGTGGCTTCATCCACTGTCCACTTCTGGAGGCCTGTACAAGTGGGTCTCGGGCTCCTTTGGGGGCTCTCTGGAAGGAAAGCAGACCCGAGGATCCTTGTAAGCACTGTAGGCAACCCCAAAAGAGGCTCAGAAGAACAGAGAGCAGGGAGATGCTGGTGTGCAGGAACTGGGAGATTATTACTAACAGAAGCCTACCTTGGCCTAGGGCCCCCATTTGCCAGGGGCCACCTTTAGGCAGTTCTCAGGGCCCCTGTGTTTAACCTGGAAGGATCTGTTGATCCCCTGATTCCTAAAAACAGTAGTGATATCCTTAGCTCCCAGGCTTCTGCCCCTTGCTGCCTGAACACTGTTCCGCCCGGGGTGGCCCCTCTAGAATCTTTGGCGCCTCTTCCTCCCATGCCCAGTCACTCGGGACCATCAGAGAGACTGAGAAGACAGTCACCTAAGCTGAGGCCTTGGACCCATTAAGTGGTTCCTGCTCCAGGTTCAGTGTAGACAAAGGCCAAGGATAGGGAGAAGGGCCTGAGAGCTGCTGTTGGAGAAGAGAGGGCACATGACCTGGAATGTTTAACCCTGGCTGGAGCTTCTCATGCCAAGGAAGGATCTTGAAGCGTGGAATGAAGGAGATGAAGACAGGGATGATGCTAAGGTTGCCCCCTCTCCGTGTTCCCCTGCATCTTTAGCCAACTACTCCCCCACCCCGCCCGGTGACACACACCGCCACACACACCGCCCCCCCCCCCCCCCCCCCCCCCCGCCCCAACCCCTGCCACTCACCAGCCTCCCTCTGTATACTGGTACTCTATTGGGACCATTTGCCCTGGTCATCACTGCCTCCTCCCCCCAGGGGGCTCTAGTGGCTGGGGTTGAGTAGGGCCAGGTGTGCTCCTCACCCTGGGGGTTCCCTGGAGGGCTCTCGGTACGGGAAGGACCAAGGACCGGAGGCAGGGCTGTGGGGGTGGGTCCCGGCGGCCGCCTGAGGTTATGGGTTTGTCCCTGTCTGCCCAACACGCAGCCCCAACACCGCAGCTGCGCTCGGGAGGCCGGCGCACTCGTAAGCTAGCCGCGCGGCGCCCTTCGCAGATGCCCAAACACCGTTCAGCGCCGCGGGGAGAGGGGCCAACAGCGGCTTACCGAGCGCGCCCAGGGCGCCGCGCCACCCCGCGCCCGCGCCGCAGCGTGGGACCCGGGTTTGTATTGGAATTTGGTTTTAGTTTTCCAAGAGGACTGCCCTGGCCATAGTGGAGCTCCCCCGGACATCAAAACTAGCTGCTCTGCTGCGCTCCTAGCTGGGCGCAAGACGCAGGGAGCGGGATTCAGTCCAAAAGCCCTTTACCTTGGGACACCCCCTCCACCTTCACCCCACGCCACCGGCCAACTGCCCTAGGAACCTTTGGTAAATAAGATCGTGGCTCCAGATCACTGGATTTCTTTTACTTTATTAATTCCCGGCCCATTTTCCAGATCTGTCTGGTTAGAGACGGAGTTCAGAGAGGGAGAAAGAAAAAAGAAAGAATGAAAGGCAAGAAGGAAATCCAGAAAACCTGTTTTAAAATCTTTATACCGTTGGGATTTTTTTTTTTTTTTTTTTTTTTTTTGTGGTATAGTTTGATGCTGATTATAAAGGGAAGCAGGTCCAGCAAACTTTATATTAGAGTTTTTGCCAACAGCTCCAGCTTGAGGGGCTCGGCTCGCCTGCATTCCGAAATTCAACGCAGTCGCAGGCAGGTCCCAGGCACTCGGAAACTGTCTTAAGAGGACAGCCTTTAAACGGACTAATTTCAGAAAGGAGCCCTTCCCTGTAGGGGCTTTTGCTCACAGGAATATTTGGTTTTTTAGATCTTCTAGTATGGAGGAGTTAGGCAAGTGTCATTGTGGCTTCTTAAATAAATCTCTCCTTTTTCTTTCTCTTAGGAAAGGATTCATTAGTGTTCAGATAAATGTGGTGAAACTAAAAGTTAATGCTCTTAGTATCTGAGACACTTTCATACTGTCAGATTATACCAAAATCCTTGTTTATGAAATGGGATGGGGGCAGGGGAGGCTGTGGTAGTCATTCTGAGATTCAATCTGTTAAAAATTCTGTTTGGCTCTGGCCAGGTAGCTCAGTTGGTTAGAGCATTGGCCTGATACTCCAAGGTTGCAGGTTCAATCCCCTGTCAGGGCACATATACAAATGAAGCCAACCACTGAATGCATAAATAAGTGGAACAAACCGATTTCTCCCTCTCTCTCTTTCTCTAATCAATAAATTTTTAAAAATGATATTTGATACTTTCCGTGTGCAGGCAGTGACTCCAACATAGTTTTTCTTCTGCCATTTATCTATCTCTAGGACACTTTAAAGTAACATTATAGAGGGGTAAAAAAACTATTAAACTATAAATCTTCAGTTCCCACACTATGAAATAAAAATAATTACACGACAGTGGAACTTGGTGGGCATGAGCAGAACCTAGCCTGGACTGCCGGTCTTAGCATGATATTCCCATCAAGCCCTCACCCACTCGGCATGGCTCCGGGCAACAGGGGCACACCCGTTTTAAGGTACACTGTCCATTTTATTTCCCTGCACTCTACAGTAACAAGACTTTTTAAAATCTTCCTTGGACAATCATGGCACATTCCTATGCTATTAAAAATATTATATAATCATTAGGTAAATAGATCGGACTGTTAGATACTCTGTGCTGGCAGACATCTGGCTTGGACTGCACCATAGTGGTCCAGCCCGAAAATCTCTCTCACTTCCCTGGGAGACCCCCGGACCCCCACCCTTCTTCCCCCATGGCTAGCCTGGGTGAAGGGGAGGAGAACAGAAAAACCACAATGGCTTTTGGACTCTATCCAGGTGTGCAAACAGAATCTCTCTCCCCTCCTTTTTTGAAAGTAAATGCCTTGATAACAGGATAGGTTCTCCAGGTAGTCAGAGAACAGAGGTTACCTAGAACAGAATGACACCAATGATCTAAAAAGGACATCGACTTTATGAGACTTCAGGCCAGATGCCCAAGATCACATTTAATGAGGCCTGATTCTTTTTCTCCAAAAATAACAGAGACTATCAATGAGATGGTCAGGAAGGCAAAGGGGCATTTTGCAAAGCCTATGTTCAGCGATTGCTTTGTAGCATTTTTCTAAAATTGAAAAATGCTTCACAAGTATATGATCTCATGTAAATATTCCTTGCAGAAGCTTAACATATGTTTGCAATGCCCCAAAGGAATTACAAAAATATTCTCTCCACAATCTCTTAAGCTTTTAAGCATTCACTTGCACTTCTAAAAGAATCCGTTGTTTCTAAAGATTAAAAAAAAAAAGTAAACTTATATGGGAAGTTTGTTTTTGTTTTTGTTTTAGATTAGCCATTTGAACTTCAAATGGAGAACAACTGATATTACTGATAACCCTCCCAGGTTTTATAATTTCAATATATTTCTGTTTCTTTTTCTTTTTGGCACAGAAATAATATATTTGGCAAAAGATTAATGTATCCTGCTACATGAAGAAGAGTAGTTTGTATCATAAGATTTTAAAAGCATTTTTAATGTCAAATGTGAATGGGGCAGCTCTGACAGATACAAGAGTACAAATTTGTTTATCATGCTCGAAGCACTTAGATAAAGGGCGTTGGAAATAGAGGTATGCGAAATGGAAATTTAAGTAAAGAACAGTTCTCTGTTCAGTGGTGCAGCCTACAGATTTTAGCAGGCATATGAGTGGACTGATCTGTTCATACCGATGGTAGAGTAATCCAAATAAAAGTGGAGGCGATTAAAGAAAAATACTGAAGATCGTGTTGGAAAAAAATTAGATCAACTTCCTAGTTGATCGCAATTGCTGTACACAGATTTTCTGTAACCATGTTGAATTTTTAAAATTAGATTTTAAATATATTTTGACAGTCTGAACTTGTACAGTGTGACTAACTATAGGGAGAAATGACAGGTCTGCTTTGTTATTAAACTGCTGTCTGGAAAATATTGGACTCTGTACAGTAAATGATAATTATTTTGCCACTTACATTAGTACAGCTAATAGCAATAAGGGTTTTTTGAACCGTAGAAAGCTAACTACTTTGAATTACTGTGCTTTGTTATTCACTGTGAAGCAAAAAGCCTTTTTTTTTAAAGCAACCTCATTTTCATATTACTGTTCTAAGCATTCCCTGCTACTAATTTAAACAGAGGAAGTTAATAAATAAAAGGGTGGTATCTAAATGGTTCTATTTGTTAAGAGAACATTTGCAATTAAGGTCAGCGGTGCCAGCAGGCTAGACCAGAGCAAGGAAGGAGGAGGGGGACATGGAAGAGGATATGCCCTAGTGCAGTGCTAGCGAAAGCTGGACCAGTTTGGTTCTCGGAGGGATGGGCAGCCTGTGAGCACTTGAGAGACACCCATCAGAGGCCAAATGGTTCAAATTGTCCCCCACCGTGAACCCAGAATCACTTAGTTGTCTGAAAGAAGGACAGCTTCAAAGCTGATCCAGGCTGCCGGGCCAGTGGGTGTCACTATCTCAGCCTCCCTGGGGTAGGAGCTAGAGTCAGAGGAAGTGACCTTGCATTCCAAGCCATCCCCTTCCATAGGAACCCCTCCTCTGGCAGGGCTGAGGCTGGGAAGCCAAAGCAAGTGGGACTGAATCCCTCTTCTGTTGGTCTCATTCTGCCCTTTTCATACATAGATAGTTAGGCTGCCTGTAACATACTGTCTCTGAAACCCTCTGTGTGGTTATTAATTACCCTTTGTTTATTTTAATATATTTACTAAATCAGGTACCCAAGGGAATCCTCTACATCAGTGATGTGAAAAAGCCTGTTGCCTGAAGTCAAAGAGGTACATCTTGATTTCTGATTTGCATGTGCTTGTTTTAGTGAGTTTTCCATGACGGGGAAAGCAAGCAAGTGAGGAATGCTGATCAATCTTTGGGTGTGAAAAGTTTCTGTTTCAGTAGCTTCAGTATTTGGGTTTCACAAGTAACATAAAGGGTGATACGAGGTGAAGGGAAGTGATGCAGTATGTGTGACCAGCATGCATGGATTTCTGCATTTCTTTCATTTCATAGGTGTGGTGCATAGAGTAATTCACCCAGTAGGAGTAAATCTCAGATCTGTAGTATTAACCAGCATACGTCTGTTGACACTCAAAGAGCTAGTTAGTCTCTCTGCATGTATGTCAGAAAATTTGTTTGAATCTGCACAGACGGCATCCATACCTGGGCCTCATGAGCATTCCAAATTTATAGTCTCTTGTAATCCACTCCATACTCACATTTGGAAAAGTTAGTGTAATTTCAAAGCATCGTATGTCTCCCCCTCCACATTCAAATGTGACTTGGGAGCTACTCTCTGCTTTTGGTTGTAGGCAGAAAGGGGAGGGGATGGATAGGAGTCAGAAATCTAATTTTCATCTACTAAAAGAAGTGAAATTAAGCTTTTTTAAAATGGGTTTTCAATGCCAAGTATTCCAGTGTGAATTTAATTATCAATCCTCTTTGTTCAGAGAACTAGATCAACACTCTTACACCAATAATCATTGAGTGTCACCCTGTTATGTATACTGGTTACCTCTCATCAGCTAATGGAAAAAAGTTTGATTTTTTATTAAAAATTTTGCTTGTTGAGAAGTTTGCATGAAATACAAAGTTTTTGTTTTCTAGAGAAACTGAGGAGGAGGCAAACGTCACACTGTTAAATTGCAACTCTTGGCACAGGAGACACTTTCAGGATCCAGTGAATTTAGAGTGTCTGAAAACAAAACCCCATTTTTCCCACTATGCAAAAATCATATCCAATTACTTACTTCTCCATGCTGCTATGATGAGTGTCTTTGAATTACTGGATTGTGAATATTTAACATGATTTTTCTCCCTAGCCTTATACAAAATTAACATTTTCTTTAACAGTTCTCATATATAGATTTTAACTCAATGTATACCTTTGGGATTAATTTGTGTCCATATGTGTGCATGCAGTACCAACACTTTATTCCTTTCTTCTGTGTTTGTTCCTTTTATCCTTGTCTTTATGGTTGAAATTTGAAAGCCATCTATTAAATATGATGATCTATGTCCACCAGCCAGTTTTATTATATCTATTTTGAACAAAGAATTAATGAACTTTTAAGGCAAGGTTCACACTAGTCCTGACCTCCCTGGTCATATTTCATATAAGGTTACTGTTGGGAGAGAAATCAAATTTCAGCTGCAAACATGATTGACAGGTGAGAGCAAGCAAGTGAAAGGCATTTGGCCAGATGGGGAATTTGGGGAAGGAGGAAGACAATTCCTTAAAGTTACTCCGGGATATTAGATATTATAAGCTGATATATGAAAAGTTCAATACTTGATACTCCTGGGAGAGTTACTTAGTTTAATTTTCAGAAAGTCACTTTGGTTAAGGGATTTCAGTAATGGAAGCCAAAAATGGGAAACCACTAGCTTTTTGCTCTCTGGGAAATTTCCACTTTGTACAGTTTCATGGCTTATTTCTGGCAATTTTCTGGGTGAAGATATGAAGGTTAAAGCACAAGCCATGGGAGAAGCCATTTAATTACCTTTCATTTAATCTCAGAAACATAGTCTAGATTATATTGTTTCTTGAGCATATTACAAAATATTTATCCAAAGTAGTATCACAAAAAAATTATATCCTCCATTTTGTAGCATCCCTTGTTTCTGACTAATATTTTCCATTAGCACATGTTACAGCTTAACATATGCAAATCTCTCAAAATGCATGATTTATCAAGGTTTTGCCTCCTGAAGAAAGGTCTCCTAACATGAAGATCAACAGAGACAATCACACACTGATATTTGATGTAAATTATTCCATGGTAGCATCTTTGGGTCAGGTGTGATGGTGGCATCGTTGCCATGGGAACAAGTCATGATGCTGCTTGGCCCTAATACCAAAGGTAGTTTTGGAATTCATTTTAAAGGCTCTCTCTTGTCAAAAGGAGATAACATGACTACCCATGATTTGCATTAAACTTGAAAGTAGGCCATTAAAACTCCTTCTTCCATCTGGTGTGCTGAAACACTAATTCTGAAGGTGGTAATATCAGGACCTTAGCCTGCTCATGTCTATGCTCTGCCCATTTCAGATGTTCCTGACATTGGCTAAGACCCATCGGATGCAACCAAGCCTTACAGAGCTGCTTCGGGCAGGGCAGGTGGGATGCAGACATAGGGGAGAGGCCTGTATGTAGCTTTCCTGTCGCCTATGGGAGAAGCTGATGGAACTTGTGTAAACAGCACTTCCTGGGTTCTGAGTACCCATCTGTTTGTTTCCCCCCCTAATCTTACAACTAGCAGATTGGTCATGTTTCATCTAGATTGTATCCACCCTGGTATGAATTCAAACAAATGTAAGGAAGGCTTTATTATTTTATGAACTGGGATGAAAACCAAAAAATTCCCCACCCCCAAACAGTAAAAGTACTTAGAAATCTTGTTTCTATTTTGTAGAACTTGCCTTCCTATGTTGCCCACAATCACCCAGATATCAAAGGCAAGCATGGATTCCTGATGCCTGGTGTGGATGCGGATGCCCTAGCCCAGCTATTTAATTCAGACATAAAATTAAGGGTGCAACCTTGCTTCCCTTGCAGAGCCCATCAAAGTATTTTTAACAGAAATGGGGAATTGGGTGTTCTCATGCAAAGGACATGTGTAAACAGAGACTGTAAGTTTTGATTTCTGGTGCCTCTCGTTGACAAGCTCAAGTGAAAACAGTGGCCAATCTTGACTCTGCTTTCACTACAGGCCCCGTGGAGTTTCTAAATAGTCTTGAGAGGAAAACTCCCCCCTTGAGACAGTGAGTAGAACACTGTAGTGCATGCCGATTTGGAGAGAGGACCAATGAATCCGTCACAACTTCTCTGAGTACGTCTTAAGCAAATGACATCAGTGTATTTCTTGGCACTGAGAAAACAAGAAGAAATAATTCTGTTCAAAGTGTTTTGTTACTGGGACTTACTTAATTGTTTGCTGTTGTTGTTTGTTTATTTAGGTTATGCTCCCCCTAACCACCACCTTTTCATACAAGGCTGTTTTTCTTTCTGTGGGCACTGACCCACTACTAAGCTGATTTAGTAAATTAATTATAGCAGAGCAGGTACAGAGTGACTAGCCTAATGATGCCGTTTGAACTCATATTATTTTTAGTCAACTCTAGGATACCATTGAAGGGGATGACTTGAAGAAAGAAACATCATGCGTGTAGGGAGACAAATAGGAAGAAGAAATTTTTGCCAAAGTACAGCACTCATTACTTAAAACTAAATGATGCTTCTGTAAAGAGCTTTTCTTTTAAAAGCACATATTCAGTCATCTGCCAAAATCTCAGATTTACTGCTCCCTTTCACAGATGCCAGTGTTGAAACTCTTCACCTGCCGCTTGCTGAGTCTTTCATTTCCTCAATCCAAAAATTACTGTAGAGTTGTTGTGTAGTGTCTACATTTTTTTTTTCATTTTCTTGGCACCTAAATGAAATTATCAGCAATAAATGAGCTAAGCAGAAGGGTTGGTTTTTCTTTTTTGTTTGTTTGTTTACAATATTTGGAAAACACCGGGGCAAGGCTAACCCAGTGGGAAAATTCGGTGTGCCGCTTTTTCCAGCATCTCCAGAAAATATAATAAAGCTATTAACACATATAATTTCAGATGGGAAGCAATACTCATTGGGGGAAAAGGAGGAAGCAGCTTCTGGTGTTGAGTGGGAAAATCACAGGAGCTGTGAGACAACACAGCAACAGAGTGTGACCTTGGATATAAGCCCTGGAAGATATTAACACCTAATTAACTGTCCAGGGGTGCATCCTACTACTTCATCACCGGTGAGGTGGGAATGACAGAAGAGAGAGGGGAGAACTCTGATTGAGCTTTTGTCCACCTTTCTCTGAATAAAATCATCTAATAATGCTCTATACTTGTGTGCAGCTAGTGACGATTTCTTTTTAGTCACTCGGGTCTATTGAAAAGCACAGTAAGTTCATTTGCTAGAAGGTAGACAGTGGAGGGAAGAATGAAATGGATCTGAAATTGACCTTGAGGTCAGCCTCCTTTAAATTGGGTTCTACAAAGTTTCTTTCCTTCTTCCCTGGGTCTTGCAGAGGCAGAGTTTTGCATTGGGGTTTGTAATTATTTAAAGGGCTTCTGATGTCAGAGTTGATCTTCCCCCTCCTGGGCCCTGTCCCTGCCCAAAGTTAATCCAAATAGATGTCTTTTGTTACTGATGGTTGTTAATTAAAGGGCTTGAATCTCTGCTGCTGTGGTGTGCTCCTGCTTGTTTATATTTTAAAAGGAGGTTCATTGCTGATGTACAGGAAATGGGGGAAAGGCAGGTGTAGAACTCTTACTGGGCTGAAAATTTTGAATAGAATAGAATCTTCTGTTTACTTGTCTTTCCTATTTTCCTGCACTCTTTCTTTTTAATAGAGCAATTAGAATCCCTTAAAAAAAAATCTTAAGGCACACATGGTCAGTTTACCAGTGTTTGGAATCACACATTGCATTTTAGAGAGCCACGCAGGTCTGCGGAAAAGAAGCTTGCCCTGCTTTCCTCTCAGCAATAAGGGTGGGCAGGAGAGATCAGAAATCCCTCAGTGCTGCCAACCTTTCTGATCCAAGCTAAGAACTGCTTTCTCATTCTTTGCTCCAGTGGGTATCACATAGTCGAAGTTCTGTCCTGATGTTCAAAGCCTGTTTTGTTTGGTTGTCACTGGGTTTTCCCAGACTTTTTTTTTTTTTTTCCTTCTCTTTTTTTCCTCCTAAAGCCTCCAAGCACTCTCTCACCTCTGCCTAGTTGAACGCAAGTGCAAAGTGCATGGGCTA